GTGGCCTCCGAGTCCTCCCCTGGATATTCTGCTTCCAGGTGCCCAGCAGGAAAGGGAAGGAAAGGACACGTGGAGCAAGGGCTGCCCTGAGAGTTATGGAGGCCCAGGCTGGAAGTGTGGTCATCATTCTATCCACATCCCATTGGACAGAGTGCAGTCACACGGTGCCAAGGGAGGCTGGGAAATGTAGTCCAGCTGTGTGCCCTGGAATAAAAGGCAACAGGGTAAGAGGAGCACATGGTCTCAGCACAGGCTCTATTCTGGCACATTCCTTCAGACTCTGCCTCCCATATCTTGCGAGGCTCTGAGGACCCCTGATCTCTAGGACTTCTGGAATTTGGGGGCCCCAGTTGCCCTGTTTCTCCTCCCTGGCCCCCCTCCCTGCTCAGCTGTTTGCCATCTTCTGCCCACTTCCCACTGATGTGTGTTGGGGCTTGGGGCTTGGGGGCATAGATGTCGCCTCATGGATGTGATCAAGGTCATAGGCACAGCCTTTCTTTTCTTTTTCTTGTTCTTGTTGGGATGGGGATTTTTTCAAAAGGAAGAGGCAAAAGTATTGTACTATTTTGGGGTCCCTACACTCTTCTGCCTCCACATTCTTCTGTTGTGTTCATGCTGCTAGACCTGGAAGCTTAGGATGAGCAGGTCTTGGCATCAAACTTTGTTTGCATCAGCAGAATCCTTTCTTTAAAAGAGGTTGGATGCAGAAACAGATCAGAGGGTTGCTGCTCCAGTCAGTGCTGGGCCCGGAGGCCCAGAGTCCTTCTTCCTCCCCTTCCCCATCCCATAGACCCCAAAGGCTTAGGAAGGTCCCTGTGGCTCCTGAGACACAGCTCAGAGGCTCCTGGCTGGTGTTGCTCCTCTCTGTGAGGGTTGAATTCTCTCCCTTGCATTCCAAAAGTGGGTCACACTGGGATACCAGCTTCGCCCAAACCTCCCTGTCTCTGCAGTTAGCCAAACCTTAAAGCAGGTGCTTGTACATGTGTGTATATATAGCAACTGCAACCACAACAAGAATGTCCATTCTCCCAACACAGACACCCACCCTGTGCCAGGCCCAGATGAGTCACCGAGGAGAGGGCGAAGGTTAGCAAGCACTTCCAGAGGAGGTGCTGAGTGAGGCAGGAGGCTGCAGGCGCACACATCTGCCCTCGGGCACACTTGGGAAGGTGCTGGGAGTGCAGGGAGCTTCTCCCCAGCAGACCATGATGCACTCTGCCTCTTACCTTCCAGCAGCGCACTCACTGGGTTTAGCACTGCCCCTAATCTGGTACCTTCCTTTCTGTATGCGTCTGTGATTTCAGGCAGAGAGGTATGAGTTTGGCATTCCAATGGGATCAGTAAGAACAAAAATCACAGATCCATTCTAGGATAAATTGCTCCCTTCGTTCTGAGCGGTGATTTGGTTTTCACTGAGGTGAGTGGATTCTTAAGGCAGTGATTCTCAGCTCCCAGGGCCTAGAACTTCACAGAAGGTGGCTCATTTTGATGATGAAAAATGCAGTGATGCAAATCAGGCAAACAGGGCCTGCCATTAGCCAACACTGTGTTCATCACCGCGTCACCCTTGCCCGGGCCAGCCTCCCCTCCACCACCCATGCAAGGCCTGGGGAGAAGAGGCAGACCGCCTGGGTCCAAGCCCTGGCTTTGCCCCTCAGAGGCTCCAGAGCTCTCCCAGGGTTGGTTTCCTTATTGGTGAAGCGTGATTAATAGGTAAAGTGACAAAATGGGCCCCACAGGCCACAGGTGCTGCTCTGACTGTCCCTGCTGAGAGCAGGTCAGGCGCCAGGCTTTGCTCCCTGACCCTTAGACACTGATAGCATGTGTTTGTCAGTTGCAGGTCAGTTTCCCAAGGGTGACTGCTATGCTACTATCACACAGGACTGAAGACTGGGGCTTCAACTATGGAACTCTGTTTTCTCAGTCTGGAGACCAGAAGTCCAAGGTGTTGGCAGGGTTGCTTCCTTCAGAGGCCTCTCTCCTGGGATTGCAGATGGCCACCGTCTCCCTGTGTGTGTCTGTGTCCTCATCTCCAGTCATATTGGATCGGGGCTCACCCTAGTGACCTCATTTTAACTTATTCACCTCTTTAAAGACCCTGGTTCCCAGTGCAGTCCCATTCTGAGGGACCTGGGGTTAGGACTTCAACATGGGAATTTGGGGGAGGCACCGCTGAGGCCATAGCAGCTCTGCTCACAGCTGGTTCTCTCTGGCCACGTGCCCAAGAGGAATACGATGCTATCCCTTAAAGCACACACAGACACGCTGCCAGGAGGAACCTTATCAGATTGCAGTGGAACTGTGGCTGCACACTCAGAGCTGGGTTTATTGGCCAGGAGGAGAGGAGAAGAATCCTTCTTGATTAATAAAAAGTCCCCAGGGGCTGGGTGCGGTGGCTCATGCCTGTAATCCCAGCACTTTGGGAGGCTAAGGCAGGTGGATCCTGGATCACCCGAGATCAGGAGTTTGAGACCAGCCTGGCCAACATGGTGAAACACCATCTCTGCTAAAAATACAAAAATTAGCTGGGCATGATGGTGCCCACCTGTAATCCCAACTAGTCGGGAGGCTGAGGCACGAGAATCACTTGAACCCAGGAGGCAGAGTGAGCTGGAATCGTGCCCTTGGACTCCAGCCTGAATGACAAGAGCAAAACTGCATCTCAAAAAGAAAGAAAGAAGATTGCTTCTAAGTTCAGTGGAAAGGAAGAAAAAAAAAAAAAAAAAAAAAAGTCCCCAGTGCCCCTGTCCATCCAGCCGTCTCTCTCCTCCCTAGCCAATGTCATCCTTTCCTCAAAAGCCAGAGCACGAACACGCAGCACGTGTTTGTCTTCCTTCTTCATAAACGGCAGCGAACTCTGTGTGCTGTTGTACAGCTTCTCCTTTCACATAAAAATACACCTTGAAGATGATTTCTCATGAGTGCGTCAGATGGGCACCTGGGCAATTCGCCGTTGCAGACCACGGACGCAGTGGCTGCCTGCACAGATTGTTCGCACAGCTGGGAGTACCGCTAGATGCATTTCTAGAAGTCAGATGGCTGGGTCAAGGTGAATGTGTGTTTGTAATTTTGAAAGATAAAGTCATAAAGATAAGTGAAAACACCAGGCATCTTGGCTCACGCCTGTAGTCCCAGCACATTGGGAGGCCAAGGCAGGAGGACTGCTCGAAGCCAGGAGCTTGAGACCAGCCTGGGCAACATAGCGAGGCACCGTCTCTACAAAAAAAAAAAAAAATTAATTGCGTGTGGTGGTGTGTGCCTGTAGTCCTAGCTACTCAGGAGGCTGAGGCAGGCGGATCGCGTGAGCACAGGAGGTCAGTGCTTCAGTGAACCGTTATCATACACTGCAGCCTTGGTGTCAGTGAGAGACTGCCTCAATTAAAAAAAATATATATATATATGATAGGTAAAAACAAAAACGCGTATGTACTATAAAACTTGGGATGAGCTGGGCATGTTGGCTCATGCCTGTAATCCCAGCACTTTGGGAGGCTGAGGTGGGCGTATCACTTGAGGTCCGAAGTTTGAAACCAGCCTGGCCAACATAGTGTTAAAACCCCGTCTCTACTAAAAAGACAAAAAAAAAAAATTGCTAGACCTGGCGGTATACCCCTGTAATCCTAGCTACCCGGGAGGCTCAGATGGGAGGATTGCTTGAACCTGGGAGTTGGAGGTTGCAGTGAGCTGATATCACACCACGGCAAACGTTAGCCTGAGCAACAGAGCGAGACACTGTCTCAAAAATCAAACAAAAATCCTGGGATGGAGGCAGGGAAGAAAGGAAGTGGTGGGGACTGTGGGTGGTCTGTTTTACGTTTCATAATGGAGAGCTGGTACTTACCGTTTAGAATTCAAACATAGATTTCAAAGTGGTTACCTCTGGGACAAGGGTAAGAGACACCTTTTCCTCATTTTTCATGTGCTTCAAAAATTATCACGCCCTGTATATATGTTGACTGTTACTGTAAGAAAACAACATGAGGTGGTACAGTGACAGCTGTGTGAATGCCAGTTAATCAGTCTTGCATTCATGCCTCTTGGAGAACCACCCTAGGGGTTGGTTTCGAGCAGAGCCGTTCCTCATTCCCACAGGTGCCTCATTTTATCCTGGTGCTGTTCAGAACATCACTTACTGCCTAGAGCTAATTCCAGATTCTCCTCCCACCCAGGGCAGTTTATCAAAGGCAAAATAAAGAGGGTGGGCTGGGCACAGTGTCTCACACCTGTAATCCCAGAACTTTGGGAGGTCAGAGGCGGGTGGATCACCTGAGGTCAGGAGTTCGAGACCAGCCTGGCCAACATGGTGAAACCCTGCCTCTACTAAAAATACAAAAACTTAGCTGAGCGTGGGGGTGCATGCCTGTAATCCCAGCTACTCGGGAGGCTGAAGCAGGAGAATCGCTTGAACCCGGGAGGTAGAGGTTACAGTGAGCCGAGATTGCACCACTGCACTCCAGCCTGGGCGACAAGAGGGAAACTCTGTCTCAAAACAAACAAGCAAAATGAAGAGGGTTGGGGGTTGACTCCCTGAAAGTTTCCAGATGCCTCTTCTAAAGATAAAAACATAATGTGGTGCCCAAAAGAGGAAAGAACTTCTCCAAAGAGTCTAGGATGTGGCTGGCTGACGTGGCCACTTTGCCCGCAGCCGATGAGGGGATGAAAGTAAGAACTGATTTGAATCTTCGCCTCTTGTACAACCCCTGGTGGGCACGGGATGATGCCTCATTCCCCTGATTTTAAGTTGCATTTTTTTCCCCGCATTTCCACATTCTCCAAGTCAGAACGTGTCCTGCAGTGTGAGGGTGGTCTGTCATGGTTTAACTGGGGTCTCCTGGCCTTCTTGGTGCTCCATAAAATAGTGGCACACCTTCCAATGGGGGACCGGGAGGTGCTGAATCACAGTGCTTACACAGCGATGGGCTCATCTGCTCTCTCCCGCACGTGGCTCAGCCCTGCTCTGTGTCATGGGTGGTATCCCCGGCTGACCCCCTGTCTTGCAGGTGTAAGTCGCCGCCAGCAGCCATGGGTAAGCAGAACAGCAAGCTGCGGCCCGAGGTGCTGCAGGACCTGCGGGAGAACACGGAGTTCACCGACCATGAGCTGCAGGAGTGGTACAAGGGCTTCCTCAAGGACTGCCCCACCGGCCACCTGACTGTGGACGAGTTCAAGAAGATCTACGCCAACTTCTTCCCCTACGGCGACGCCTCCAAGTTCGCCGAGCATGTCTTCCGCACCTTTGACACCAACGGCGACGGCACCATCGACTTCCGGGAGTTCATCATCGCGCTCAGCGTGACCTCGAGGGGCAAGCTGGAGCAGAAGCTCAAGTGGGCCTTCAGCATGTACGACCTGGATGGCAACGGCTACATCAGCCGCAGCGAGATGCTGGAGATCGTGCAGGTACCGCCCCCAGGCCCGGTCTCACTGCGGGCCAGGGTCCGTCCCAGCTCCCAGCCCAGGGCTCTTTTTTTAAAGACAGGGTCTTGCTCTATCACCCAGGCTGGAGTGCAGTGGCGCAATCTTAGCTCACTGCAGCCTCTGGCTCCTGGGCTTAGGTGATTTTCCCACTTCGGCCTCTTGAGTAGCTGGGACTACAGGCGCGCACCTCCATGCCTTGCTAATTATTTTGGTATTTTAGGGGGTAGAGAGACGTTTTGGTCACATCATCCAGGCTGGTCTTGAACTCCTGGGCTCAAGTGATCTGCCCACCTCGTGGAGAGTGCTGGAATTACAGGTGTGAGCCAGTATGCCCAGCCTTCGAGTGTATTTGTATTTTATGTTCACTTGACATGGTCTTTCTTGGCCAGGTTGCTACCTGGGGCACTTTTGAAAGTGAGCAGTTGTCACCTGACGGCAGATCCTTGCAAAGGGCAATGGTAAAAGCCAATGCTTATTGATCACTTGCTGTACATCAGGCCCAGCCGGAGCACTTCGATCAGTTTTCATCTTCATAACCTGATGACATGGGTCATTCTCTGCATTTTACAAAGTCTGAGGCTCAAATAGGTGAATTTCTAAGAATTATATATATATATTTTTGGAGATGGAGTCTCACTTCTTCACCCAGGCTGGAGTGCAATGGCACAATCTCGGCTCACTGCAGCCTCCGCCTCTTGGGTTTGAGATTGTCTGTCTCAGCCTCACGAGTAGTTGGGATTACAGGCATGTGCCATGGCAGCCAGCTAATTTTTGTATTTTTAGTAGAGACAAGGTTTCACCATGTTGGCCAGGCTGGTCTCGAACTCCAGACCTCAGGTCATCTGCCCACCTCAGCCTCCCAAATTACTGGGATTACAAGCATGGGCCACCGTGCTTGGCCAAGAATTATATCATCGCTGGGATCCTTGGCACTTGCAAGAGGTACCTGCCAAGACCTTGGGAAAGCCCTGTACCTGGGAATGCAGCAGATAGATCACAAGAATCAGCTAAGCACACAAAGGACGTCACTTTATGAGGCATCTCTTTGCCTTTATGCCTATTAACAGCTCTAGCAGGCAAGGCCGTGTTTCAGAAGGAAACCAAGTACCTGTGTGTGTGAGAGAGTAGAGATTGCAGAGCTGCCCCTCCCTGGCACTCCCCTGAGTGCCTCCCTGAGCCCGGGAGCATCCAGTCTAGACTTCCTCATGGCCAGACCTGTAATCCCAACACTTTGGGAGGCGGAGGCTGAAGGATCGCTTGAGCCCAGGAGTTTAAGACCAGCCTGGGCAACGTAGTGAGACTCCATCTCTACAGAAAATTTAAGGAGTAGCAGGGCATGTTGGCATATATCTGTAGTCCCAGGTACTTGGGAGGCTGAGGTGGCAGGATCGCTTGAGCCCAGGAGTTTGAGGGTGAGCCAGGATTGCACAGCTACATGCCAGCCTGAGTGACAGAGTGAGACCCTGCCTTCAAACAACCAAAAACAAAACAAGAAAGAAACGGAACTCTTCAGAAGCTGTGGTCCCATGGTAGGGAACCTCAGGGGTAGGCCTCCAGCAGCGGGTATCAGATCTGTGAACTCCTGCTCCAGCCACAGCCCGCCTCGGGAGCGAGCGGCCCGATTCCCACACAGATGGTTTTCACACCGCGAGAGGAAATTAACACGGGTTCGGGGAACTCTGCTTCAGTCGCCGCTTTCTGGCTCTTAGCTTCACACAGTGGCAGAAGTAAGAATTCTGTTTCCCAGGAATCGCCCACCCTGTCCTGCGTGTTAACCCTCACCCTTTGCAAATCAGCATGCCTGTCACTGGCTGAGCAGAGGCTTGGCCAGAACCTGGAAACTCTGGTAGAACTGTTCAGAGCAGCAAGGAGCAGCCACTTCTGTCTGAACAGGATCTCGCTTTTCAGCTCCCAAACCAAGTCTTCAAACCCTGAAAGCATTCCCCCAGTGCCATCGATGGCTCCCTGGCTGGCTGGCTGTATTTCTCATAGGACACTTGATTGCTACCTCTTCTCAAAATGAGAAAATGGTCTGTTGTCTTAGAAATGACACTTTTACACGGAGTGCTCAGAAAATCTCGCAGCAGTGCCACTCCTCCCCATGCATGTCACTGCTCAGCGGCCACTCACCAGCCCCATCACCATCTCCCCTGTACACTGACCAGCAGCACAGGGGCATGCACCCCAGGCTGGGCCACTCAGGCAGAGATACACAGAGAGACCAGCAGCTAGGCTGAGCCCTCGGCTGACAGTGCCCCAAAGAGGCCATGGAGACCCAGGGCCACGGGTTCCTGTCCTGTCAGGGGCTGGTGATAGGGCTATCCCTGTGAGTTTCAGGGGCTCAGCCTCTTTTAAACTGCTGGGTAACAGCCACACAGTAAAATGCACATGGCTTAGCGGGCAGCATGGTGAATTTCGTGCAACTCTGCCCGTGTGACCACCACCCTCCCTCAGCATTCCCAGCCCCCAAGAGGGGCACTCAGGCACCTTCCTGGTACTACCCCCCAGGCAGAAATACCACCACCCTCACCACCTCCCACTGGAGTCATCCTGCCAGCTCTGCTCTTGAACTTCACTTAGACACCAGTGATATTCACTGGGGAACATTCTCCCCACTGGGGAAGGGTCCTGAAGGCCACCAGGAGCCCACGACCTCCCCAAGCCTTGTCATAGGCTGGGCAGAAGCCCACCCTTGCTGCGCCCGGCCGAGCCCCCTCTGAACACACTGTCCTTGCCCCTGTCCGCAGGCCATCTACAAGATGGTGTCCTCGGTGATGAAGATGCCAGAGGACGAGTCCACCCCAGAGAAGCGCACGGACAAGATCTTCAGGCAGATGGACACCAACAATGATGGTAGGGCTGGGCTGGGGGCGGGGCTGCGTGTGTCCGCAAAACGTGTTTGGTTCGCCCCTCCCCTCTGCAGCTTCTTGGTCTCCTGGCCCACCTGCCTGGTGCTTGCCATGCCCAGGAAAGGGCGGGATAGAGTTGGGGATACCCGTGCTGTGCCCTGGTCCCTCTGCGCGGCTTTGTGATGCTGGGCATGTTGTGGCCCCTCTGAGCCACCGTCTCCCCACTCGTAGAACAGAACATACCTATATTTCTGTGGGTATGTTTAGGGGCAGGGAGGTAGGCGTGCTGGCAGCCCTGAATCTGGAGGGCTTGGGATCAGAGGATCCCAGATGGTGGGGTCCTGGGGTGCTGGCCATGCCTCTCTTGCTGCCATCCTGAGAGAGGAAGCTGCCCAGATGGCCTCAGTGTCCAAGGGGAGCTGTCAGGATGTACACTGCCACCTTGTCTGCCTACGGCAGCTCTGTGGGGACTCAGCCCCACTGCGGAAATGCAAGTCTCACGATGGTGGGTGGCAGCAGTGGTGATGAGGCCGTGCCCCGAGTGCCCTCCTCTGCACTGGCTGTGAGGTCTGGGGCGGCTGTGGCAGCTTCCAGCTCTGCTCGTCTTGCTGGCGTTGTCCAGGGCAGCCACAGCACCAGGTTCGCTTTGCTTTTGAACAATAAAGAAATGCAGCCTTAAGAAGAGAAAATACTCCCTGGGTTGTGCTGGAGAATAAAAGATAAGCGAATGCCCAGGAAGCCGCTCTGGAGAGTGTGGAGCGCAGCGCTCGGTGAGATAGGCACGGCCCCAGCGGGAGACGGGCTGCGGGGGAGCTGTAGGCAGCAAAAATCATCCCAGGCAGCCAGGTCACCATGTTCAAAACACATGCACGCAGAAAGCAAGGCTGCCTGTTGCCCGGCGTGGCCTTCGGGCTGTTGGGAAATGTGTTTTCCACCCTCCAGCCCAGCAGGGCACCTGTCGCTGCTCTCCCGAGGCTGTTCGATCCTTTTGGGGATGGCGCATCCAGTCCTACCTCGTTGTGAGGTTTCAGTGAGACGATGCCATAAAGCTCTTAGCAGGGTTTGCAACCACAAACAGTGGCTGTTGTTCCTGACTTCAGTGTCCCTGGGGAAGCCACCCATGGTCCTGCCCAAACCTGCCTCCCGGCTTGGCCCTGCCCGCCTCTTCAGAGGGCATATTCTAAGTTGTTTGGTAATTGGGATGGCATGTGACCTTGCTAATGTGCCCCCTGGGATGGAGCCCTTCCTCCTGTGAGCCTAGGGGACCTGTCTGTCCCTGGAGTTTGGGTTAAGGAGGGAAGAATGATACCAGGAAGGTGGGGCCGCAGCCAGGGACCAGAGTTCAGGGTGTGGTCCTCAGCCCTCGAGGCTCCTCCAGGGACTGCTCGGGAGTAACAGTGCCCTGGAGGGTCCCCCAGCTTCCCTGGCCACCCCAGCAGGTGCATGGCTGCTCCAGGCCTCGGGGCTGGGCTGACGGATTTCTCCAGGGCACAGGTATCATTAAAGCCACCCTCTCCTCAGGCTGTGCTGAGCAACCCCCTCGCCTGCCTGCCCTCCGTCAGGAGGAGCCCCTGGAACCTTCAGCAGCTCCCTGGCATCTCAGCAGCCCTCCAGGTCATCCTGGGGCAGCTCTGGCTCTCCCGACCGGTGGTCCATCTGGGCTGGCCTGCTCTCTCTCAGCCTGGAACTAGGGGGCTGGGGTCAGGGACAGGAAATAGGGCGGCTGGGGCTTGGCCCAGGGCTTTTAGGGCTATGGTCTCTGAGGCCCACACCTAGCAGAGGAGATGCCCCCACAGCTGGCTGCCCTGCGTGGTCAGAGGTGGAAGGTGAGGAGTGGCCCATGAATGTCCTCACCAACCTTAAGGCTGGCAGCCACTCTCTCCATTGGCAGAGGGTCCTGGGACTGCCTGCTGGGGACCTGACTGTCCCTCCCTTTCCCTGCCCATCCCTTGGCCTGGGCATCGTGTGGGCTCCCTTGGGGTCAGCAGGCTGCCCAGGCCCCAGAGACATCGAGTTTGTGCCCTGGAAGCAGCCAGCCTGCCAGAGCCTAGGCCGGAGTCCCATAAGGACATGTGTCCCTGACTGCCAATGGGCCGGAGGGACTGGATTCCCAGCAGGGTCCTACTGGGCAGGGGCGTCCTCCACCCTGGTGCTGGGCTCAGTCCTCAATTGCATCCCCCCAGTCGCCTTTGAGATGGGTGTTCTCATTATCCCGCCTTCGAGACGAAGATCCTGAGGCCTGGAAACATTGGTGGCTTGCCATGAGCCAGAACCGAGAGCCGAGAGCTCCCGCCCGCCCGCTGCCCTGCCGTGCGCCTTCCCCTGTGCTCGGCCTGGCTGTGGGCGTCTGTGTTGGCTGCACAGACATTTTGCAGGGTGCTCTATCGATTCCAGCTGACACAGAGCCTCAAACAGACACACAGAGGGGCCGCCCCAGGGCCCAGGCTGCCAGGGCGCAGCTAACCTCGAACCTCATCCTTCCCCACCAGCTGGAGCCAGAGGCGCCCCCTCCTGCCCTCGAGGCCATGTCTGCCTGGGCAGACTCCTTACGGCGTCTCCTGCTTGTGGACCAGCAGAGCCAGGGCTATGGTGACCACAGTGTGGGTGCATTGACAGCGATGATGGGACAGGGAGTGGATGGTCAGAAAACTTCCCCCACCCAGCTCAGCCGATCACCTTACAGAGCCCCGCCCTGGGCCACAAGCCTCCAGAGGCCACTCTACCCAGTGTGGAGTCACCGAGGCTATGTCCTGGGAGAGGGAAGATGTCACCAGCTCTGGGTGGGGAGGATGAGGGGCAGCTGATTCCTTAGCATGGCCAGTGTTTTTCTAGGTTTTCCTCTCACCGTATGTGGCGGACAGTGCAGGGCTTGAGCTCGGTCCCCCAGGTCTAAGCAGCAGTTGCCAGGGGGGACCTGGGCCATGCTTTGGGGGGCCGCCAACCAGCGTGGCCTTCTCAGCCTGGATTATGTATGGATTAGAGGCAAATGCTGTATTTTTCTGCGTAATGTACATATTCCTTAATAAGCAAAACGTGGGGTGGTTTCCAAAAGGATTTAAAGGGCCCTCGTCAGCCACGTCCTGCCGTCCTGCTGGGCAATCCCTTCGAGTTACCTGATGTATTGTACAGAGCTGGGAAAGGAAAAAGGATTTCTTTCTGAAATGCCTATAAAGTGAGTGGAGACTGGACACCGTCAGCTTCAAGTTGGCTCAGGACTTTCAACAAAGGGGGTGTCCCTGACCTGAGGGCTGTCCCCATCCTCTCTGCAAGCATAAAGAACAGTGAGCACTGATAATCCTGATCTCTCCCATCCCCTGCAGGTAAACTGTCCTTGGAAGAATTCATCAAAGGTGCCAAGAGCGACCCCTCCATCGTCCGCCTGCTGCAGTGCGACCCCAGCAGCGCCAGCCAGTTCTGAGCGAGCGGCCCAGACAGCGCAGAGGAACACAGGCTTGCCGTGCCGTTCACGCTTTGCTTGCAAGAGTGGATGCCCCGCCAGTCGCCTGCTCTCCCGTCCCCGACCTGGGCCACGCATCGTACCTGCCGGGCCCCGGCTGCGCCTCCCTCCTTCGCCTGACCAGTGTGACATTCCTCCCCTCACGCCCGGCCCGGTCCCTTCCAGGGCGACTCCCAGGGATGTGATGTCATGCAGGATTAGTGTTCTTGGTTCCAGACACCCCCCGGCTCATGGGGAGACCAGGCAGGACCTTCCGAGGCTGCGCCTGGCCAGCTCGTGCATTCTGTGATCCCAAGTGACTCCGTGGGAAGGGTGGGGACGAGGCGTCAGGAGGGTAGACAGGGAGCCCCTCCCGTGCATGGCTGCCCCTGTTCACTTTCTCCACCACGGCCACTGCACGTATAGATCCTGCGATCCCCTTTCTTTTAATATATAAATTATGTATGGTGAAGTGAAATGTAATGTGTAGGTCCCGTATTTAATGCCTCTAACTGCCTTTGAAGCGCGGCCCCCTGTGGCCGTGGCCCCCAAGCCTGGCTGTCGTGTGGTATTTATGCTCTCTCCGTCTGCCTGTTTCTAAGGAAACGCATGCCTGCCCTGAGCGGTGGTGACCCTCCTGTCCGTGTCGTGAATGCAGGCATTTGTGTCTGGTCTGTCCTCCCTGTTGATTGGTCTGGCATTTCTGGTATTAAAATGATAAAATAAATGGCATTTTCTGAGTTTTGTGTCCGCCCACAGAAGCCCCCTTCCTCAGGCCGTGGCCCCTGCCCGCTCCAGCCAAGGTGGGTCTGCCGCATGCCACTGCTGTCAGTAAACCTGGCCCCTCCTGTGTCCCTCCAGCTGTCCCTGCGTCTATAAATCTTGCACAGCCTGTTCTTCAATATCTGCCTAATGCCAAGAAATATTCAGGGAAATAAACGAGGACTGCTCTTGGCAGGTCTGACCATCAGCCTTCTGCCCCCTGCTCCCCACGGGCCCTTCCCTCTCCTCCTCCTTCCACGTTCCAAGAGAGGATGGGCGTGGCCAGTGCTGCCATCAGGCTGGCATGGGAGGTGGCAGGCCTGGTTCTCCATCCAGGCTTTGCCGCTGCCTTCCATGCTTCTAGTCTCAGCAGGAGAAGGCCCAGCTGAAGAAGGGGGGGTTGGTCTCCCCTGCCAAGGGCTCTAAAGGCAGCATCACTGGGGGCCCCCAGGCATCAGCTGTTTTTTTTGTTTTTTGGGTTTTTTTAAGTGATGGGGTCTCTCTATGTTGCCCAGGCCGGCCTCAAACTCCTGGGCTCCAGCAATCCTTTCACATCAGCCTCCTGAGTAGCTGGGAGCTTGGGTGAACAGCCCTTCGCCTGGCTAACCACAATCAGCTTTTCGCCTCAGACTGTCTCCCTGGGGTGCCCACAACTGCTGTCGTGGTTCTGGGCAGTACGACTGACGCAGGAGCCTCGGGAGGCAGGGAGACAAGCAGCCCTGTCCCCTGGCCTCCCCCTGAGGGACTGTCCCCACCCACCTCACATCTGATGACTGAAACCATGGCCTGTGTTCACAAGATGTCCATGCAATGGCCATGGCTGGCTTCGGCTGGTCAAGATGGGCCCCTTGGCCATGGAGGCACTCACCTCCCCCAGGGGCATAGGGTCAAGAAGGGGTGAGTGGCATTGAGGTTCTATTACCAGGATGGGCACCACAGTGTCTGCCCACCTGCCTGCTGCTATCGGCTCTGCTGTGTCTCAGTGTCTTCACCGTAGGTCGGGGAGCTGTGTGACTCAAGGTCACGTGTGCAAAGTGCATGGCTTGGAGCCTGCCTCCCAGCAGGCCTTCAGCAATGGCAGCTCTTTTATTGATTTTAATCATTGTAATATTTTTTCAGACTCCATGCCTCTTTTTTTTTTTGAGATGGAGTCTCACTCTGTCGCCCCAGTTGGAGTGCAATGGCACGATACTGGCTCACTGCAACCTCTGCCTCCCAAGTTCAAGCAATTCTCCTGCCCCAGCCTCCCGAGTAGCTGGGATTATAGGCACATGCCACTGCGCCTGGCTAATTTTTGTATTTTTAGTAGAAACGGGGTTTCAGCATCTTGGCCAGGCTGGTCTCGAACTCCTGACCTCATGATCCACCCTCCTTGGCCTCCCAGAGTGCTGGGATTACAGGCATGAACCACTGCGCTTGGACAACTCCATGCCTCTTTTAATAGAAATGATGAGTCTGTTTGCCAAGTGCCTTCTGAGTCAATGGCACTGCTAGAGCTGTTTCATAGTAAAACTCTCCATACACCCAGAGCCGCCAAGCCTTGATGGGGGAGCCAGGGGGAGTGCAGAGGCAGAGGCCAGGTGCCCTGGGCAGATCCACCTTGCTACAAAGAGGCAAGACGGTGCCTTTGGCAAAACGGCCTCGCCTGGAAGAATAGTCAGTGAAGGGCTTGAATTTTATAAAAATGTAACTGGGACTGGCAAAGGTTAAATCAAGAGTGCTTGTTACAGGGAAGGCTCACTTATGATGGGGACAGTATCCAACAGACACAGATGGGAATGACCACTGTATTAGGGTTCTCCAGGGATAGAACTGAGAGGAGGCATGCATAGACGGGAGGGGTGGGTGGATGGATAGGTGGGTGGATGGATGAGTGGGTAGGTGAATGCGGGTGGGTGGGTTGGTGGGTGAGTGAATGGCTGGGTTCATGGATGGCTGGGTGGATGGATGGATGGATGGATGCATAGATGCATGGGTGGATGGATGGATGCGTGGGTGAGTGGATGGATGGGTGGGTGGGTGGGTTGATGGATTTATCATAAGGAATTGGCTTACATGATTATGGAGGCTGAGAGGTCCCAAGGAGACAAGCAGCCCTGTTCCCTGTAGATGGGTCAGCAAGCTGGGGACCCAGGAGAGCTAATGGTATACTTCCAGTCTGAATCTGAAGCAGGGAGGAGGCCAGCGACCCAGCTCAAGACAATGACTCAAAGAACAAATTCTCAGCCTTTTGTCCTATTCAGGCCTTCAGCCAAGTGGGTGAGGCAATCAGGGAGGGTAATCTGCTTTATCGCCCCAGCTCTCCATCCATCACCAGTTCCAATGTCAATCTCACCCAAAAGCACCCTCACAGGCACACCCAGAATAATCAGTTTCCCCAAATGTCTAGTGCCCCATGGCCCAGTCATGCTGACACATAAAATTAGCCATTATAACCACCTCTGCGCAGATGTGAAGGAGGGAGATACGGGGGTCCTGGTGGACCCTGCCCCACAAGGAGCTCACAGAAGCCAGTAAGATTCATTTGGGAGTCCAGTGTTCCCTGGGAAGGCAAAGACGCCCCAAAGATCGTGTCCCTGTGCCAAGAAGCCCAGCCTTTCAGAGCTGTGGTGGCAGGCACAGCCTGGCTGGGGCAGGAGACTGGGGAGGGTGGGAGGGAGCTCAGGAGGAGGGGTGGCTGAGGCCAGCGCCAGTGGGGCGGCAGCCCCAGGAGGGCAGAGTGGGGCTCCCCACAGCCTTGGCCCCTCCAGCTCTTCCCAGCAGCCTGTGGGACTGCACCATGGCCTCCTGCAGCTCACCGGGGGGACCCTGGCCCGCCCCGGAGCCACCTGCCCACGGCCTTTCCCAGCAGTGGCCAGGCTCTTGGGGCTCAAACGGGCTGCCAGGACCCAGAGATGACCAGAGTGACCAGGAAATGCCTCATCCACTAGGGGTGTCTGTGTGCTTCTGTGTGCGGGTGTCTTGTGGGGTGTGTGTGTGACTGGGACAGGTGGTCTTAGTGTGCACTGTAGATGTGTGTGATGTTTGTGTGGTGTGTGGGGCATAGTGTGACTTTCTCTGTGTGTGATGTGGATTGTGTGGTATGTTTGTGTGTATGGCGGTGTTTGGAGGATATGACATTGTGTGCTGTGGACGTGTGTGGTGTATTTGCATGTGTGGTGGTGTGTGGGGTGTGGTGTGACTTTGTGTGTGTGCTGTGGATGTGTATGGTGTGTTTGTGTGTGGTCGTGTGTGGGGCATGGTGTGACTTTGTGTATGTGATGTGGATGTGTATGGTGTGCTTGTATGTTGTGTGGGGCATGGTGTGACTGTATGTGTGAGATGTGGATGTGTGTGGTGTGTTTTTGTGTTGTAGTGTGTGG